TTAAGGGGCAATTCTAGAGAGGTTTCTTAGCATTACACATTTTCAATAATGTCTCATAATAAATATGTAGAGGATAATCTTGTTAATATACTCATAATCTGTTTTCTTGAACTCTGTTCATGTTGTTAAGTCAAAATTGCTAGCTTTGTCAAAATATTATAAAAAAAAAAATTACAAATTATTCCATATTGGCATTATCGTTGTATTTTAAAACGGACAATTTTAGAAAGGTTTTTTACAAAGCATGTCAGTTCCAAAGAAAACAAGTAGTTAAAAATGGTATGCTTCCGAAGCGCTTTTCTAGATTTTTCTATATCAGGAACGCTCAAAGCCGAATATTGAAAGCAACATATATAAAAAACGAAACAGTTGAAAAGCTATATAACCAAAAAGGGCATAATAAAATAATCAAATACATCTTAGATCATTTTTGCCTGAGTGAATTGAAACCTTACCTTCTATACAATTTCATAATTTATAAAGGGGCAATTTTAGAAAGGTTTCTTATAATCACAATTTTTCAATAATGTTTCATAATAAATATGTAGAGGATAATCTTGTTAATATACTTATAATCTGTTTTCCTGAACTCTGTTCATGTTTTTTAAGTCAAAATTGCTAGCTTTGTCAAAATATTATAAACAACATTTTACAAATTATGCCATTTTAGCATTATCTTTGTAAATTTTTTCTATATGAATTGGATTTTGGAAAAAATAAAAAATCCAGTAAATTCACATGCAGAATAGTGTTATTCAGAACGCTAAACGTCGTGTACGTTTACATGTATAATTGTTTAAAATGTTTGTTGTAAACAATTGTCATCGAGTGCATTGTTTTCTCTTGGAATATGGAGTAAACAATTTCTGTCTTTTTATTCGGTAAATATGGGATTAAAATGTCTTTTGAAAAACTAACATGCCGTTTACAGTCGGGTTCAGTGAATGTCTGTTTACCTAATGTCACTAAAACCACACATTTACCGCATCTAAAGACAGTAAATATATACTAGTATAAACACGGAAAAAATATCGTACCACCCCATTTGTTCTCACACACAAAAATAGTATAACACATTATACTATTTCTGGCTCTAAAAGTTTATAATTGATGTAATTGTGACATTTACAAGACAAGTGACATTAATACGGTAATAAATTTTATCAAACAAATGGGAGGTCTGGGTACTCAAAACTGTAAATGTTTATTCATAGATGCTTACAGGTGGAAATGTTCATTAGCGCAATACCTTTTTTGGAAAACGAGAAGTTGCAGAGGTAACAATACACGCACGAATTTTCAATACCGAGTGAAACCATCGTTCGCACGAATTGCCGATGCTAACCTTCAACTAATTCCAAGTCCAAACGGTGAATGTGTTGTTGTAGTCTTAGCTATTCCCAGTCCAAAGTTTGATATAAATCATCAATTGAGTAAATATGGGACATAATTGCTCGTTGTGGTACGTGTAAGAATAAAGCAATTTCAGATGTATCCTAAGCTTTGCAGCAGGAATGGTAAAGGCTACCACAACAATTGTACATCATATAGTTAAATTCATATACGAATACATAAAAAAAAAACCAGCAGTGCACAGTTCAACGGCTATATTTGGGACTGGCGGATGTATTATAATCTCTAGTTTAAAACAGAACATCATCAGTCTTATCTTTGTTAAACTTTGGATAATTATTTACTAGGTTTGGATGAATATGTGTCTACTTTCATTATATTGTCTTTATCCACATTTAGGGGCGACGACAAACATTTTTCGACAAGTGCCAGGCTGTCTGCCATATGCAGAATTGTTAGTACCTAGTAATTGTTGCTTATGCATATTATGGATCAAAGGAGTAGAGAGTCTATGTATAATATTTATAAATAAAATATTCCCTGTTTTTAAGAATGTGTGCTTAATAAATAATTGTTCTGTGTTTTGTTTAACGAGAATGACAGTTTATAACGCTATATGAGTCCATATACAGAAGAGAATTTCATGCAAAAATTTTTGCATCCTTTACAGTGCATCAACTCTAAGTACTTTATTCATTTATTTTATTGAAAAAGAATTAATAATAGGTCACCGAATTTATTTTACTGTTTCAATCATGCATGCAAGAAACATAGAAACAAAGAAGAGAATGAGAGTTGATCCACAATGCAGTCAAAACGGCACGCTATTTGTTTTCCCCTTTTCGATGTTTATATATCCAATACTGTGTAAAAAGATCACGATTTGATGCAACGGTAGAATATAAGTATGAACAAGTTGAAAGATCATAAGCGTTTATTAAATGTGCAGTTTGATGCACATTCAGAACAAGAAGATAATTATCAAACCGACATTGTACTAGATAGACATCGTGATCCAAATTTTTAAAGTTGTAATTTCAGAGAATAACCGTCCATAAGAGGATATTTTACCCTTACCGGATATATTCAGACTCTGGATCTACAAATCTTTGCTTTCATTCATACGTATCCTTTGATTTGAACTGACCAAGGATCAAATGCAAAACCTCTTGCAATTGAGACAAGCACGCTTCAAAAATAAAACCAAGACGGTTATAAATATTAAATAATAAAGATACACATACACTTATATGTATATCTAAACATTTGAAACAGGGATATGTGGCCATAAGACACTGTTGTCAAATTACAATGTTTAGTTAACTACTAGTTTGGTATATAATTTGAATTTATTTTAATTTGGAATTGGACGGACGAATAGACAGACGCACAAACCCGAAAATATAATACCCGCTTGCTACGTCGGTCTTAAAACTAAAAGGATCTTCATTACCAAACTGCAATAAAATATTTAACCGATTTGTGAGACGTATTTGTAACATATGTTAAACGCCAAACATTTCGTAAAAGCAATTTGTGAGCAGTGACGTTAAATAATAACACAAACAGATTTTCCTAGAAACTGTGAATCATATAACTATAGGCAAGAAGTAAAAAAATAACTGATTTTATTAGTAAAGTGTAATCATTGTTTTCTTGATATGGCATCCTAAAAAAAGGTACAGAAAGGTGACAAAGTACTATGATATAGATGTATCAGTGATCTGAATTTCTACCATTGACAAAATAGCATATAGTATGATGAACAAACAATGATTGGTGCATTTGATTAACTGGATTAATAATTTCCTATAAGGTTGTTGTCAACACAATCACCAAGAATTTGATAACAAAATACGTAAAGATTGAAATAACAAATTGGGTTCATTTTAAGTATGTATATTCAACTAAAAACACAATCATGCAGTGTATGCTCCTCTCTGTCATTATGTTATGCAATAGGTCGAGATACGTTCAGATATGTTGTATATTTCGAGTACTGTCATTTTATTGGAAATCTCTATTGGGACTATCTTTAAGAATTTTACGTAAACCTTTACATAAAGGCCATTTTTAGAAGACTGGATTATTATCCTTTTGTTGTTAATATTGTTGTTTGATAATTAATCCTCTGGATTGATTTTACTTGAAATTACAATATATATTGTACATGTATGTCGTCACAATGATAATGCAAATCAGGTATGCTATTGCTATATCCTTTTAATGTTTAGACTCAGGACAATTCGATTATATCATATGGTGCGTTTAAACGTTCAACGCCGTATGGTGATAAACGATGGCTCTGTGGTTATCTGTGTTGATGGTTTACTGATTTTTTTCTTTGAACCAGTGTTGAAATTGACAGCATAATCGTGTAATCAACTTTTCAGTATATAAGTTTATTTTTCTAGATTTACTTCACCTATTACGACAGTTCCTTGCTTGAGTGTTTCCAGCTGGAATTACGACGTTTTGGAACTCAAAACCCCCAAAAAGTATAAACAAAAGATTCGTATCGTTCGAATATCAACTCCGGGCCTGCATAATCTATTAACCAACTTAAACTTGAAAGTACGTTTACCCCTTCATGAAAGCGAGTTTCAGTGTATTGCAAATAAGTAAAATAAAAAAGAGCTTAAGACAAAATCTTCAGATTTTAATCTCATTTCATCTGATCACAAAGTTTACAAGTCCTATATCTAAATATATAATATTTTATGGTTCTGTTAGGGTTGATATGACCTGGAAATAATGGATAGCCGAACTCAATAGCTAACGCATATCCCACAGTGATAACGCTTACAGCGTATAAAAGCTGTATGAGCTATAGGAGGACATTGACTTCTTTTTACAAGCCTGCAACAAAACATTAGCTAGCATAAATACATTAAATAAAAAATCTATAATCACACATTTCTTGTATAAGCCACATCAGTGTGCAAATAATTTGAGGAAGGAATCTATATTGCGTCATGTGTTACAGGAACCCGCAAAGTACAAGTACGCATAACAATGTGTACTTCTGAACGAAAATACTTATAAACATTTAGGAGAATACATAGTGATGAAGGTGTGTATCATTTAGTTAAAAATCTACCGCAAATGTACCTAGGTTAACCTTCTTCTGCAACAATAAAATCAATCTATTTGGAAGCCAAGAAGGAGAAGGCATGAGTATCAAAATGAACGAAAAACTATATGATGAAAAGAGACATAAAATGATAAGCAAAATCCAGCAAAATCCATCCAAAGTCTTTTTTTTTTTTTTTTTATTTAACAACAATATTGCACATGCTGTTAACAGATTTCTTCACTGGTACAGCTATTTCAGTGGAGATCCCTGTATATTAGTACCTTAAGACCAGGGTATCTTCAGGTATATATTTACAATTTTGTTAGTATGTATATTATATGTCTTTAATACATTGTTTATCATTAATACATTATTTCTCTATTATTTTACTATTATAATTCTGAATATGAACTTTATATATATAGTAAAAAAAAACAGTTTTCTTTAATATACAATCAATTGCTACTATCTGATAGATGTTGAGAATAAAACAGAATAACGGGTTATGTTAGCGTGTTCGGAATTTGGTTTGTGGTTTAATATATTTCGCTGTTGTCCGGTATAACGGTTTTTCAGTTGTTGGTGGATTAATTGCTTTCACCACGTGTCTCCCAAATATAATTGTATTAGGCACGGAAGGTATGTACACAAAAAAAAATTTGGTCTCATATAGTAAGCATAATTTATATATCTTCCGTATAATCTAAAATTATAGTATATCAATTTGTGGTAGAAATAAGTGGTACTTTCACTTTCAAAACTCATTGAAATTGTAAAATGAAATGATCATCTATCAAACCGTTCTGTTAATTTACATGTATAATAACAATATTGACAATAGTATAACAATGTTGTCAAATATAAGAATATATCTTTTCTAGTATCCCTTTTCCTTCAATATTAATATATTTTTTTTGTAATAATAATCCTTTTTTAAATTCTGACCTAAAAACATTATATAGATTGATTTTTTTTGTCCTATATTCTGACAAATAGTGTGTTTTGTGTATAGTGAACACAATAACTGTAAGTAAAAAGTTTATTTCATAATAATGTTCATCATTAATTTTATATCCCCAGATTAAATTTTTTTCAGTGAAAATGTGTCTACCAATCTTAGCTATTTCAAATAACTTATATATTTCCCCCCAAAACTCATCTAAAAAGTGGCAAGTTACAAAAAAATGTTCATAGTCTTCTTTCTGGAAGAATAAAATGTAATAGTTTCCATCTGCACATTTTCAGTTTATTATCTTTTAAATAGTTATGAATACATTTTTGCATATATTGAGCTTCACTTTGTATATTTTCACATTTTAATATTCTGTTCCACTTATGATACCCTATTGGAACTTCTTTATCATATTCTATTAAAATTGCATAAATTTTCTTCGAATCTAATTTTTCTAGTTTATGTTTGCAATTGTTTTTTTTACTTATATATAGTGAGTTATTTGTTAAAACACTAGTTTTTATTGAACTTTCTTCATTTAATATTTTTAACCATTCTTTTGGAATTGCTTTTCTTAATTTTGAGAATTCAGCTATCCAATTCGATTTATTCTTTAATTTTTAACTTATAATTTTTTCTGAAAAGACTCCATTTTCATCAATAATATCATTTATATGAATGATATTGCTATCTATCCAGTTTTGGAAAAGTAGTGTTTTCTTTTGAAATTTGATCAATTGATTTCCCCAAATGACTTCTTGGCGGATAAGTCTGTAATTATTTGGATGTTTAGTTTTATTATTTTTATTTTTTAACCATACTTTAATCATATCAAGATAAAATTCTGGTAGCTCTTTAGTACCTGGTAGCGAGTATATATTATAAGTATTAATTCTTAAGATAAGTAGATTGCTACCAAATTTATTTAGATAAAATTTTGGTATAACCATCCAATTAAGAAATTTATCAGCAGTTAATCTTTTTATCTAACCTATCTTAATAGATTCTATATATTTATCTATATTTACCATTTTTAATCCGCCATCTAGTTGGTTGAAGCTTAATACAGTGCGTTTAACTTTTTCTGTCTTATTGTTCCATAGAAATTCATATATAATTTTTTTAAATTTATCTAAAGACTCTTTGCCCAAGGTTGAGACTGTAGCCAAATAAGTAATTATAGGAATAACTAAAGATTTAATAACTGTTATTCTTCCTATCATGGTTACGTTTCTTTTTTTCCAATTAGATATAATTTTACAGACTTTTCTAGCTGTTTTTCAAAATTTAGTTTAAGACACTCTTCTTTGTTATGCCCAAAATATATCCCCAGACTTTTAACTGGTTTATCTGTAAAGTTAATGTTTTCATATTTTTCTTTACAATGTTTTTGTTTCCCTAGCCAAATACCCTCCGTTTTAGATCTGTTAAGTTTTAATCCTGACAGTGAACCAAATGTTTCAATCATGTTAAGAGCTTTTGAAATATCTTGTTTTGATTTGAGAAAAAGAGTGGTGTCATCTGCTAGCTGACTTATTTTTAAAGTATGGGTTTGTCCATCTATCTTGATTTCAAATCCTTTAAGGTTATGGTCTTGCCTAATTTTACAAGCTAGAATCTCCACAGCAATAACAAAAATTATCGCACTACATGGACAGCCTTGACGTATTCCACGATATATACTCATGGGTTTTGAAATCCACCCATTATTTAAAACTGAACTTTTTATGTCAGAATATAAAAGTTTTATCCATCTCATCATAGAATTTTTAAATCCAAATTTTTGTAAAGCAAAGAACATAAAATCCCACTCTAATGAATCGAATGCCTTTGAAAAATCTAAGAATAATAAAGCGCCCTCTATATTAAATTTGTCTGCATAATCTATGACATCTTGAATTTGTCTAATATTATATCCTATATATCTGTTTTTAAAATACCCATTTTGATCTCCATGAATAATTTGGGGTAATATTTTGATGATTCTTTGAGCAAGTGAATAAGCAACTAATTTTGTGTCAACATTCAATAATGTTATTGGTCTATAATTGTCTAAACTGAGAGAATCATTTTTTGTTATGTAAAAGGGAAATAACTCCTAATTTTTGTGAATTTGTTAACTCCCCTTTATCAAATGAGAAATTAAAAGTTTTGACTGCAAACTCTTTAAGATGTTCCCAAAAAGTTCTATAAAATTCTACACTTAAGCCATCAATTCCTGGGGCTTTATTTAGTTTCATTTTAAATAATGAATCTGTGCATTCTTGAGTGCGTAATAAGCCTTCCATACTATCGCCTACTTTATCTGTTAGGACATGATCACATTCTGTATTCATAACATAATCTTTTATAAAATTTTTATTGGGATTTGAACTTTTATAAATTTCTTCATAAAATTCCCTTTCAAGATTTAGTATTTCTGTAGGATGTGTATGTATCACCCCCTCTTTGTCTCTGAGTGCTGTTATAGTTTTTCTTGTTTGCCTAGCTTTTTCTAGTCCCAAGAAGAATTTTGTGTTTTTTTCTCCTTCTTCTACCCACTTAATTCTAGATCTTATTTGTGCTCCTTTTGTTTTTGAATCATTTGGCTTACCAAGTTTTTCTTCTATGATATTAATTTCCTCTTTAAAAGAGTTAATAGCATCCTTTTTACATTTTTTGTTTGTACCCTCATTTAATTTCTTCAATTTGTTTTCTAAAATATGTATTTCTTTTACATTATTTTGTGCTTTTCTTTTGCAGAATGCTATGGTGTGGTCTTTAACCTCAGTTTTAAACAGATCCCACTTGACACCAATATCATTGGTGAGTAATATTTTCTTTTCATATTGTTTGATTAGAATTTTGATAAGGTTTTGATATTCTTCATTTTCTAAAATACTATTATTAATTTTAAAGTATCCTTTACCTTTTTGGTCTGATCGACCCTTTTATCTTTATTGAAATTGCCTGATGGTCTGTATGAGTTATAATAGCTGGCCTAATATCAGTAGATTCTATTTTAGTTCTTATTTCAGGACATGTTAAGAAAAAATCTATTCTAGATGCTTCATTTAAATTATTTTTACGTCGCCAAGTAAATTGTATTTCCCTACTATGAAGCTCTCTCCAAATATCACTTAGTTTTTGGGTTTTAATTAAAGATTTAAGGCTAAATACTGGTTTTGTTTGTTTTGTTTTTTGTGTTGACATTTTTTTTTTTGTTATCTATTTTTGTTAAAGTGTCATTCATATCTCCTCCAATTATAACCATTCCTAAACTATTTTTTGTAACTACTTCTTTAACTTTTTTGAAAAAAAATATTTCTTTTTTTAGGTATATTTGGTGCATAGACATTTACTAAGGTGTAAATACTGTCTTCAATTTCAACATTTATTAAGAGTAGCCTGCCCTCTTGGTCTTTGAACATATTTATAAATTTGCATTCTAAATCGTTATTAATAAAAATTGAAACTCCTCTGGACTGTGAGGTTCCAAAGCTATGATATTGTTGACCTTTAATTTCAGAATTTAAGTCTTTCTCTAAATCTTCAGTGAAATGACTTTCCTGAACAAACAAAATATTACATTTTTGATATTTCATCCACAAATATAATCTATGTCTTTTATCTTTTACTCTGAGACCTTGACAATTTAAAGAACATATATGAATTGTTTTTGTCATAAGTTTTTGTTTGTGTTAATATAATATATTTATTTGAATGTTTATTGAGCCTACCCAACAACATTCTTGTATTCTCCTAGTTCTGATTATTCTTTTAAATGTATACACATATTTCAATAATATACAATATTCATTTTGCATTAATACACAAGTTAAAAATAATACAAACCAGAGATTTTCTAATGAATTTGTTACAGAACATTTGATTAAAATCAAATACACATTATCAGAGACATATGTGTCTCCAACATTATTAGGTCTATTACATTGTGATGCTGTGCAAAAAATAATGCTGTGACATGTCAATTTCAATATTGTAAACAATTGATTTCTTTCATTTCGTAACACCTGTTGTTTTATATTTTTAAACACCAGACAACGTAGCTGAAGAAACAATAGTAATTGGATCTTATCGTGTAAATTTTGGAATAGTGATTTCGTAAAACTTGGTGTTCTATTAATGGAAATTGAGCTCTGCGTATAAAGAATTGACATGCTTTGAACAGGAAAAAGTAAAAGGATGTAATAGCATATTACTGAACAAAAGGAAAATAGACAATGACAGTTGTGCGAATAAAACGGATAAAACGTTGTGAGCTTTTTTGGGTAATAAATTGTAGAGTTCAATATCTGGAACATAAACAAGATTTTACCTGTTGGACACAGAATAGGTACTATTAATAGATTTATTTTTTCCCAAGATTTCTGTTTTCTCTTCTTGGGAGTAATTGTTATAAAATGTTTAAATTTCTGTATAATTATTATATTTTCTTTTCTATTAAAAAAAATATTGTACAAACTGCAATTGTTTTGTATTAGATTAATATAATTATTATTAAAGTATTTTAAATTGACATACTTTTGTATTCTCTTATACATCATTTTGTTTGTTTCAGATTTGACTGATTTATTTCCATCCACATTTGAATGTATGTAATCCTCAATTGCATCACACTCATTTTTATTTTTATTTTTTTTGTTATATAAAAACAGGCTAAATATTACAATTATATACAAATATTTACACTTGTAGTTCATTGTTGATTTATTGTATTAGGTTTATTGGTTTGGTTACATTTCCGTTTACAGCTGGCCCTAAGTTTTTGTTGTCTTTTGAATAGGGACAGCTTCTTTGTGTTTGATTTCTGTTGGCGTACTGGCATTTCTTTTTCCATTTTTTTTGGCGGCCGGGGTATTGGTATTTTCTGTCTGTCCCTTGAAATATTGTTCAATATTCCCACCGGGTTCTGTATTTTTTTTCTTCTTTTTATGTTTTGGCTTTTTTTTTCAACATTTTCTCCATCATTCACTATTTCTTGATCGCACTGTATTTTATCTTGTAAATGGTTATCACCTGATTGGGCGTTTTCTTTAGCATGAATATTACCAAGGACATCACCAGAGTTGGAAGGCTGAGGTGCGTCATGAGCAGGCGGGACTTCAGTGTCTTCTGTGTCGGCATCATTGGCATCTGATTCATCTTCACTAGAGGAGTTGGAAGTGTCTAAATCTTCAGGACAGTCGGCCTGCCTGTGACCAGGTTGTTTGCATTGTAGGCATATCCAATCGTTAGGACATTGCATAGCCTTATGTCCTGTCTGTAAACACTTTCTGCATACTATTTTGTGACCTTCTGAAGCATTTTGATTAGCATGCAAGACTGTAGCAACATATTTGCCTATTAGCATAGATCTTGGCAGGGGTTCGCTGACAGGATCATACATCACAATTCTATCCCCTGTTTGACAATTAGTCAGCTCACCATCTACACGAAGGCGTTCTCGATACGATTTGTGCACAATGCACCCATGGTATTCTAATGCGCGTTCAATTTGTCCATCATCAGCTGAACAGGGTACATTTTTGACACGTACTTTTAAATGATTTGGATTTTCATTTACCATGATTTTAGGGTTGCGTGTATACACTGGGATAGTTTTGTCTCTAACCCAAAGCCCCTTTGAAATCATCGATTCTCTGTCTGTGTCATTATCTAAATAGATTCTCCAAAGACCTCTAACTCTTTGGAGTCCTTTAAGGTGGCTACCTGGACATATATTGCAATCAATAGTTCTATAGAGTTCTAGATGAGTTATGAACTGTTCCTTGTTTGGTTTTATTAATCCAAATATATCATTTTCCAATATGAATATAGGTTTGACAGTGGAAAGCACACTCTCAATAACAAAAGTTTTTTTTACTGCAGACGAGTATGTTTCCCCTTGAGTTTTTTCGTCGGCCATCTTGCCTTCATTATTTTTAATGGAATGTTTATTTTGGTTTTCATTAGCCTTTTCTGACATTTTTTTTAGATCCAATTTCAATTTATATACGACAAATAACCATCAATATTATATATCTTACTAATATCCACTGCCAGATATTATTCGAACTCTGACTTTTATCAATCTTTTTGGAAGGAACCGAAAACACCGCCTTAGCAATTGAAGGCCCCTTCTATCTCCTTTCTACATATACTTTGCATCAAAGGAGTTAGAACCTTAGTTTCTTAATAATTTCTAGATATCTATAAACGGATAATTTCAGAAAGCCAGGTCAGAATGATTTAAGATGCTCTTTCATCTTCAAATGATCTGTTTATAAAAAATGATGTTAACGAAAGAAATCTGATAGTAGGTTATTAACCGTTATCAATTAATGTTATCTCCAATCCTGTATTCGATTTAGAGCTTTTTTTACATATAGTTGTGTTTGTTTTGGCTTTTATAGAAAAAAAAAGGGGGGGGGGGGGCTTTTAATTTTCACTAATACTTGTAAATGAAACAATAAAAGACACGTTTTTCTTATCAAATGAATTTTTATTTTTATTGCAAATATACATTCGACGGGTGCCTAGCGAACTATGAACTTCAAACCCATCAAAATAACGTGAGTGCATGTCTGTTGTTAGTACGGGCTCGTTTTGCATTCATGCAGATTTTTTTGGGGACTGTTGTTTGACCTGTTGTCTTTTCTGTACGATGGTTGTATATGTCGTTGTTTATATGTTTGTTTTCATGATCACTTGCCATCTTTGTCGATTTTTATATTTTTTTTTTTAGTTTTACGCAAAATTGTCAATAATTTTCATTCCTTCAATTTCAGAATTCATGTACGGTGCAGGGCATATTATTACAGTATATGATGAAGAAGCATTTTTTTTATTCTTTCCGTCTGAACTTCATGTTCACCTAAGGTGTTTGATTAGTCACGACTTCTCTATTGTTAAGAAAAATATCATAATCTACAATACAATTAATGTTACAAGATAACATGTATGTTACTTTAATTTCACATGAAGATTTGTACCTTGATTTTTAATAATCTCTAATAAAATTAACTCTTAATGTTTTAGACCTGTATTCGATTAATTCAAATAATCAAACACTGCGATTCAACTTACGCATGATAAAGGACATTGTCTTCTAGCATGTCTTCTTTTGCCATGTTGACTGGAAATAAAGTAATGTTGTATTTAATGACGTAACTGAGTTATAAGCTTCAGAATACACCAATAGAATGTCGTAATTCAATAGATAGTCCTCCGTAATGATATTATATATAAAAAAAAAACTGTTGTGGGGAGGATATATCACTTTGTAAAATGAAATTCTAATATGACGTGCTTCTTTCGCTTTGTAAACAACACCGTGATAAAATTCTCGATATATCTATACTTAGCGCAGACTTAGAGAGATACACAATAATGGATGTTACGATATACCTACAACGTAAATCCACATGTATCAGAACATATTTACAAACGCTATGCCGATATTTTGTTTTAAAAACTGAAATTGAAATAAGACTACAGAACTTTTATTCTTATTCGAATGCATAACAAAAAGAATTAATGCACAAGAGATCGGAGAAATCTACAAATCAAAATAAAATAAAATTCCGCGAAAGTTCATGAATGCCTTTGGTGCATTTAAGTAATTTCAAAACATGACGTCATACAAATGAAAACGCTAAAGCTGAAGGTTTTTCCGTTACGTAAACCATTAGAATGTGTATACTATTACATTAAAATGATTCTTTGAGGTAGGTGTTGTTTTTTTTTCTATTCTAATGCATTATTCGCATATTTACTGATTTCAGCAAGTCAACATGGCGGCTCCTTAGTAACGAAAAGTCATC